GTGCGAAATGAACTACGAAGGAACTATGAGCATCGAGCTTGATGAATCCTCACATTCAGTATTGGAAAAGTTCACCAAAACTCAATACGACTCGCGACTTGATGAACTTCGCCCACATGGTGGCATGGACTTCGATGGCATGACCACAGGACTTTATAGGGATGACCATTAGACTGATGCAAAATTTGAAATTTTCGCTCCACAGTTTTCAAACGGTTTCAAATCGGGCCTGATTAGCCTCTGAAAGTTTAAACTCATTTGATAAGAAAATGCCTTGGCACAAACCATTTGAAGTTTATATGGAAATTACTATGGAAAAACAAAACTTTTTGTTCATTTTTTTTTAATAATCCATTTATTTGTCAAGGCTCAAATGCGTTAGCTTTGCGGAGCCGAAATTTTTTTACATTATTGTGTGTGAATATCATTTTCTTACAACTAATGTTAGTAGAACGGCAGCCGATTACTCGCGGTTTACTCGAGATTAGGGATTACATTTATTGATCATTTGGAGGGAGGACAAGGGAAAGCATTTTGAACTAATTTAAAACTTAAACGTAAAGGATGACTAAAACACAAAACATTAAACACATACATCAACAGCTTTAAGAAAGTCGTAAATAAGCTTCATAAAGTCGATATCACGGCAAGCCAAGACGTCTCTAATTGGCTTAAAGGGTTGTTTTCCTCGGAGCAAGGAGCAGGACCAAACAACATGCTCGATGTCGTGATAACCGTTTCCACAGGTGCACAAGTTGCTGTCGGCAAACGTAATACGGAAGAGGTGGGCGTTTAACGAACAGTGATTGGACATGAGCCTGGACATTACACGAATAAAATCACGACTCATATCCAACCCTTTGAACCAGGGTTTGATCGACACCTGTGGAACAATAGAATGTAGCCATCTTCCCAGATCACCATCATTCCACTTTTGTTGCCAGTTGGCGAGGACTTGCTGACGAGAAATCGTAAAACATTCGTGGTAGGCGATTTGTCGTTCGTAAATATCGCCTTCCATAGCGCCCACCTTGACCAGCGAGTCCGCTTTCTCATTGCCCGGGATAGAGCAATGAGACGGGACCCATACCAAGGTGATGACATGCGAGCTGTTTGATAAAGCACTCAATGACGATCGTATTTCCTGGAGGAAATACGCCGAGTGCTTTATCGCCCTCATTGAACGCATAGCCTTCAGGGAGCTTAGCAACGTATACCGAACACGGCTTTTGAAGCTTGTATGAGGCGCTATGAAGATCGTGGAATACTCCAAAACCAGTGGAAGCATTTATCACCGACCCAGCTGTGAAAAATCTCTTCTTGGTGGGGACGTGGCGGTATTTGTTCGCAAAAATAGTTGGGACAATCAGGGAACGGTGAGGCTCTGGAATTCCTTGAATCTCCTGCCTCATTGTGAGATCGAATCTCACGGAAGAACAACTGAAATGATGGGAGACAGCGCGATTGGGGTTGAACGAGGAGGGGCCGATGTATCGTGTTTGAGGATTCCGCTCTAGCAGCTTCTCAAAGTTTTCGATCACCAGCGGGTTCATGACTTCACAGCGGATGAGGAACCGGAACGATAAATCCGCAAAACCATTTGTTAAGGGGAGGACGCCCGCAAGAACTTCAAGACTCATGGTATGCGTCGATTGCATACAACCTAGCGCGATTCGAATGTAACGATATTGAATCCTTTGGAGCTTCAATATGTGCGTCCTCGCCGCCGATTGAAAGCAATAGCTACCGTACTCTAAAATCGAGAGAATGGTGGTCTTGTAGAGTCTTATCAGATCTTCCGGATGGGCTCCCCATGAAGTGCCGGTAATGGAACGAAGAAAATTGATTCTCTGTTGGCATCTCTGCCTCAGATACGCTATGTGTTTTCCCCAAGTGCACTTGGAATCGAACCAGACACCTAAATACTTAAACGACATGCTGTGAGTGATTGTTCTACCCATAAGTTGAAGCTGAGACTGTGCTGGATAAAGCTTCCTAGAAAAAAACAACCATCTCTGTTTTCTCCGGAGAGAATTCGATACCCAGATTCATTGCCCAAGTAGACAAATTAGCCAAGGTATCTTGCAATGGTCCTTGCAGGTCCGGTGCTGTTGGTCCAACCATGGAAACCACGCCGTCATCTGCAAGCTGCCTTAGCGTGCAATTTTCGGTCAGACATTCATCAATGTCTTTGACATAGAAATTGTACAGGAGGGGACTTAAACATGAGCCTTGTGGAAGACCCATGTAGCTGATTCGTGCAATTTCCGTGTTGCCATGAGAGAAGCTCATTCGTTTCTCGGACAATAAATTAAACAGGAAATTGTTGATAATCGGAGAAAGCCCACTCGCATGGAGTTTGTCCGAAAGGATGTCGATGCAAACAGAATCAAACGCCCCTTTAATGTCCAAGAAAACTGAACCCATCTGCTGTTTTTCAGCATCGGCTAATTGGATTTCAGTTTAAAGCAACGCAAGGCAGTCGTTCGTCCCTTTGCCCCTGCGGAACCCAAATTGCGTATCTGAGAGTAAGCCATTCGCCTCGACCCACTTGTCCAGACGAAGAAGAATCATTTTTTCTAACAGCTTCCGAATACACGACAGCATCGCGATGGGACGGTACGAATTATGATCCGACGCGGGTTTACCGGGCTTCTGGATGGCGATAACTTTCACTTGTCTCCAATCATCCGGAACAACGTTGAGCTCAAGGAATCGATTGAACAAGTTCAACAATCGCCTCTTTGTGACTTCTGGGAGGTTCTTGAGCAGGTTGAACTTGATTCGATCAATTCCCGGAGCCGAGTACCGGAACCGAATCGGGACAAACCTTACGCGCGAAGTCGAAAATCCACTTGTTAGAGTACTCCTTGTCCTCGTTGACCGACGATGCCGCGTTACGAATTCTCCTGTCGACATTCCAGAGCGATAGCCCTTCGACGAACCGACGCCAGTAACCGCGTTTTTTGGCCCTGACCAAGCTCTTAAACTTTTCCTCTAGCTCCGTATACCGCTCAAAGTATTCGCGGGAACCGTATTTACGAAACTGTTTAAACGTTTTTACGTTTTGTTCATTGTCGTGTAGCCTTTTTACATATTGTACTGCTAACAAATTCTATTGCTATTCTTATGCGAATTTTTATCAGCTATAACTTTGCAGAAAATCGTTTTTCAACCAAACGTCAAATTAAATAGTTATTAATTGTTTAAGAGATTGATAATCTTATGGCAAGATTAAGAAGCTGTATTGTGGGCAACACTGTATTCTGCAGTGTGACATAGTAGCCATGATTTTTGTGTTTTATTCTACGCGCCACAAACACCAATGTTGCCTGCTGAACAGTTGAATGAGCATAAGCATAAGATATCAGTGACTTGAATCATTAATAATTTTTGTTCCTTAAATTTGATCGAAAAGTGGTCTTCAACAAAGTTGTAGCTGACAAAATTTTCAACAAGCTCAGCTATCATTTTCTAAAGTAGAGTGAACTGGTGAATTTTGAGATAGATATGAACCGAAATTATGGTTTCTTCATAGTAATTCCCATATAAACTTCAAATGGTTTGTGCCAAGTCAGTTTCTCACTAAATGAGTTCAAATTTAGGGAGGCTAATCAGGGCCCAATTTGGAACCGTTTGAGCACTGTGGAGCGGAAATTTCAAATTTTGCATCAGCCTAATGACCATAGAATGCTCTTGAATCAAGAATCGCCCACGTCTGTCATCTGTGTGGAGCTGAGTGGATTGAGCATAATCTGCTCGAGTTCTATAAAGACCTACAGGTGCCGGATAAAGCGCTTCCGCTGAAGTTTGCGGTGGCCGAGAATCCTATTTTCGAAGCATGACAGATGCTAGATAGTTTTCATCGGTGGTACATTGCGGAAGGTACCAAAACTGCATCAGATCGTAGCTTGATAGGCTTGGTGGTGTGTAATTAGGAGGTGGTAATTAGCAATACGATAGACTTGGCTTATATACTTGAGGACACGCACTTCTGAACGGATCAGATGATTTAAAACTGGTTCGACGATGTTGCTCCTAGCGTGGGATTGCACTATGGCTCGTTCCAGTTGTGGGTTTACTTTAGTCGGGGAGGAATTTCATTCTTCATCGATCGGGTTTCTCCTTTGTTTCTGTACACCTGCAAGGAGTCAACAATTCAAAATGACATCGAGTCAGAATCTTGTAGAATTTGCTTGAACACCGTATTGGTTTGATGGTTTTCAGTTCCTCTTCCACCTCTTGACCCGCTAACGCTCTAATGAGAATGAAGCTGAATGCTTGCCATCCATCCATCAGAGAAATTGAGAATGTAAACACATTCACAAAAGTCATAACTTTGAGGGTTGCCAAACTCAAGGAATATTGACGCCTTGATAGGCATACTTTGATTGACTTTGACAGGCACGTTCGGCACAGCGCTTGGCATAGCTTTCGGTACAGCTCATTACTCGCCACGAATTAATGTGTGCAGAGTTGAATACCCCTAGGATATTGATTTGAATGATATTATGGGTGGGACTGGGTTTTTTTTTTATTGTAAACAAATAGCTGCTTTCGGAGAAATTGAACATATTTGATATTTTGTATTTGGTTGATATTTGCAAAACATCCAAAAATACCAAATTCAACTCAGGGCAAGAAACACTAAGTGGATAACAACACAGGGAATTAAACGTGTAGACTACGTAACCGGATTAGTGTCTGTTAGGATTTTTTGTATCTATAATCTAGCTGTAAAGTTCTTTGTACATACAATTGTAACTAAACCATTCAAGCAAGTAAGTAACCCTAACCAATCAACTAAAACTATAGCGTGTAAGTATGCATGCTTTTTATGCTTAGCAGAAAAAAAACCTAAAGCCTGTATTCCAATAGTGCATCATTAACTGCCTGCATCCTGCTTGCCGTAGAATTTCCCAGCACAAAAGCTTTGTATTTTTTTTTTGACTTGTTCAAGAAAGCCCCAAACTACACTAACCCAAGCATTGACATCATAGGAAGCCCTGAAGGAGAACATCAAACCCCACTCGATGGACATCTCGCCGTGGCTCGTCTCCGCGGATGTCGTAACCGGTTCGACAAAGGCCAAGGAGGCTACTATTATCCGGAAGTCGGTCATCACCACGCAGCTGTAGATAACTATCTAATCTTAAACTTTCGCTTGTTTTAGATGTCAAATATCTATCAGAAATCGCATGTACTAGAGAATGAACTAGTATGTGTTCAGTTTGTCCAACTGAGTTTACTTGTTTTCTTTTTTTATTTTATTGTTAAGCAATTTGATGTGCATCTTTGACTACTTTTTGATCACGAAGGGCTTGCAATTCTGTCTTTTACGGTAAAGCTAACGAAGCTTCGGTTTTTTTTTGTTCGTTGAAAAAAATTATCTACTTAGGTGAACAATTGTTAATGTTGAATGAGCCTTGCAATAGAAACGATATTATACTAACAAATAAATTGATTTGCTCTGATTTTGCAGTGTAAAAAAACGAGATCATTCCCGCAATTGCTTAATCGGTAAAGCAGCTCAGCAACCCGCATATAGTATTAAATGATCTCAAAACATTCCGTCTTCTGTGTACACATCCCTCAAGTATGATTGAACTGAATTTAGATCGCTTTTTGTTATGCTACTTTACTTATATTCGTGGTGCTTTACTTTGCAGTAGGCAAACGACGCGCATTTCCTCTCAGCTGCAACCCAAGTACTTAATTTTGCCTTGATAGAGCTCAAACGACCCTTAAACTAGTAGTGTGATCCTGAATACATCGAATTAGTGCGTAGCTTGTTTCCTGAATTGAAGTTTAATGTATTTTTCTCATTTTTTTTTACATTGACTTTGACACGTTTTCTCCTAAATCTACGCTAGAAGAATAATAGTGCACTGAAATTCAGGTGCCATGAATGAGGAAAGTGAGTAGAAACCTGAATGGACAACGTCTGAATCAAATTGGATAGAGTATATATATATATATATATATATATATATATATAAATAACACTTAAAGTATCAACTGTAAGAAGAAGCCCATGAAAATCTTCATGTGAAGAACGACACCTTTATCGTTAAGTATTTATTTAGAATGTGTTTTTCGCTTCATCTGTTCCACTTTTAACAGCGACTAAAGTCAAGCAAAACAGCGAATGTGGGATGTGAAGTAATAATTTTAAAAATTATTATTATTCCGTAGAAACAGGATAAACGATGGTCTTATTAAGGTCGCATTTGTAGATGGAAATGTTTATCAAAACCTTTTATTTAGTGAAACAGATGAAATCAAAATATGGAACAAAAGTGAGAACAAGAATCAAAATTTTTACCTCTATCCATATACAACATGATTTTATGTAGACGACTTGTAATTTGAGGAAATCTTTTTATATACACTCGTGCGCTCAGTGCATGCAATTCTATTTACCCTAAATGGAGAAGTGGTTTGCTGGATGTTGCAAAACGAAAAGAAAGAATGGATTAGTATTTGCTTAATTACTGAAAAATCGGTCTGATGAAGAAACATTTGTGCCTGATCTAGCAGGAACCTTCGCCCACAAGTGTGTGGATGAATGAAAATATATATATTTGTGTATTTAGAGGATTTTTACAAGGAAATAAAATGCAGTGATACATTGTGGAATAAATGAAAGTGAATATTATCAAAGTATAACCGTTTTAATGATCCGAAATCTTCCTTGGATGGATGTAGTCGCAGCATGATTGAAATGATCTCCATGGTGCAATGATAGGAACGCTCGATCGCAGTGACAAATTATAGAGCCAATCTCGTAATTTTGTTCGAGGTTCTTAAAAACAATTTCTTTCGCACTAAAATACTCCTTATAATTCTTATGCAGTTCACCTCCAGATTGTATTTAATAATTGCTAGAATATTGGAAGGAGAATTCGAGGTGAATTTTCTGAAGAATTTAGAGGAGTACTTCGAATTAATTCTGAAAAAAAATCTAAAAAATGACGTATCTTACCACTCGAACTTTGCCTTGCAACATTACTTTGAGATTTTGTCCTCTAGAACCTCGAGAAAATAGGATCTTATTTATTCTCTTCATAAAATATCAGCTATGAGTTGCCTGATGATGATGGTGATATGAAACTACCACTCACTGTAGCAAGACAACCTTTGGTAGAACCTCTAATTGTAATCAACCTGTCATTGTATGAAGGGTCAAAACCGGTTTGGGTGAATCCGTGATCATACAACCGCTCAATAAACAAGCCATCAAACTGGAAGATCAATGAGTGGGGAGCAGAACCCGCCATCTATTCACGCAATGTTTAAGACAGAGAGTTGGCATTTCCACTCTCCTCATCCATTTCGCTTCAATCGGGTGCTCTGGTGGACCCTCCCGTACCAAGCATGTACACTGAAGTCTGTTTTTTACACGTTTTTTTTACGCGGTTTTTTTTTACACGGTTTTTCGCGATTTACACGGTACGTTTTTAACGATTTCTCGACAATGATACAACCTATCGACTTGATTCCAATCACATTATCCGTTTTAAGCTATAGGTAATCAAATGGCGTACTTAACAATTTTTGTTGAAAATACAGAAATTTTTTAAATATGTCTATATGGACCATAGCATGCGATAAAGGGTGATACGGTCAAAATTTGGTCAATATCAACTTGACGTATTTCTTTCAATTTTGCATTTAAAAAACCTGAACACCCCTCATTTTGAAGGTGTGTGTGTGTAGAATGTTGCTCCTATTTTGATTTTGGAATTCACTCTTCAGTTGTCAAAATGCCGTCCAAGCAAGAAGAGCAGCGTATCAAAATTTTGCTCGCGCATCGCGAAAATCCGAGCTACTCGCACGCAAAGTTGGCAAAATCGCTAAAAGTTGCCAAATCAACCGTTACAAATGTAATTAAAGTGTTTGGGGAACGTTTGTCGACAGCCAGGAAGTCTGGATCGGGGGGAAATCGAAAACCGGAAGCCGCTGAGACGACAAAGAGAGTTGCCGGTAGTTTCAAGCGAAACCCTAACCTCTCTCTCCGAGATGCCGCAAATAAGCTGGGTGTATCGTCTACAACCGTGCATCGAGCCAAAAAACGAGCCGGACTATCGACTTACAAGAAGGTAGTGACTCCAAATCGCGATGATAAACAAAATACGACGGCCAAAGCGCGATCCCGGAGGCTGTACACGACGATGCTGACGAAGTTTGACTGCGTGGTAATGGACGACGAAACCTACGTCAAAGCCGACTACAAGCAGCTTCCGGAACAGGAGTTTTATACGGTAAAAGGAAGGGGAAAGGTAGCAGATGTTTTCAAGCACATGAAACTGTCAAAGTTCGCAAAGAAATATCTGGTTTGGCAAGCCATCTGTACCTGTGGCTTGAAAAGCAGCATTTTCATAGCTTCCGGGACTGTCAACCAAGAAATTTACGTGAAAGAGTGTTTGAATAAACGTCTGCTGCCTTTCCTGAAGAAACACGGTTGTTCCGTACTGTTTTGGCCGGATTTGGCATCTTGCCATTACGGTAAAAAGGCCATGGAGTGGTACGCCGCCAACAACGTGCAGGTGGTTCCCAAGGACAAGAACCCTCCCAACACGCCAGAGCTCCGCCCAATTGAGAAATACTGGGCTATTGTCAAGCGGAACCTAAAGAAGACCAAAAAAACTGCTAAGGGCGAGCAGCAGTTCAAGGCAAACTGGCTTTCTGCGGCGAAGAAGGTGGACAAGGTGGCTGTACAAAATCTGATGGCAGGGGTCAAGCGTAAGGCCCGGCAATTCGGATTTGGAAAAGCGGAAGCCTAACTGAATATTTTTCCTGAATTTTATACTAATTGAACTTGAAAAAGAAATTTAATTTGATTTTTTAATTTACACGCGTTTTCCCTTGACCAAATTTTGACCGTATCACCCTTTAAGTGGATACAACGATCTTATCAAGATGTTGCACTTGGTTTTCGTTTTGTCAACGTGCTCCCTGAAAAGAAGCTTGCTGTCTAGTGTTAGCCCGAGGTACACGACCTCTTTGGACCATTCCACTACTGTGCCGTTCCGGCAGATCTTGTTATTCTCCGACGGAACAAGTCTTGGAGATTTAGAGTGTGGAAAGATGGGTCTTTGCCGCGTTGATACGGATCTTCGAGCTGTTGAAATATTCAGACAGGCGTTCAGGCCTCTCTGAAGTTTGGCAGTCAGAGCTTTGATGACCCTACCCTTGTAGACGATGGATGTGTCATCTGCGAACAGAGAGAACGATCCACCATCAGGGAGAGCCGGCATATCGGAGGTTAACAGGTTGAATGGGATGGGGCCAAGGATGCTTCCTTGTGGAACCCCGGCACCGATGTTGAAAGCATCCGATGTGATGCAATTCAGAGAGACTCGGAACATCCTGTCTGATAGATAGTTGTTTATGATCTTCACTAGGAAGATTGGAAGACCGTACTGCTGCAATTTGAACACCAGGCCATCATGCCAGACATTGTCGAACGCTTTTTCAACGTCCAACACGCCATGGCAGATGTTTTCGAAACAGACTGGTTCCGTCTGAGACTGTGTGTTACTCGAGTCCGCTGGTGGACGGTCGAACGACCTTTCCGAAAACCAAACTGTTCCTCGAGTAACAAGTTGTTTTCATCGGCAGATGTTAGGAGCCGGTGGTATACTGCTCTTTCGAACAGTTTTGATAACCCTGAGAGAAGGCTGATTGGTCGATAACTTGAAGGAGAGGACGGATCCTTCCCAGGTTTCCGGATGGGTATGGCTTTAGCTGACTTCCAGCACGAGGGGAAGTAGCCAAGTCTGAGGCACTGATTGAAAATCAGTGCCAGGTGGTTGTAGAATCTGGAACTCAAGTGTTTGAGTTCCAGATTCAGGATGTTGTCGAAACCTGGGGCCTTCATGTTTTTTGTTGATTTGATATAGGCCAACAGTTCGTCAGCCGTAATCTCGGATTCCTCTGGAAAAATGTTAGGAATCTGAAGAAGATTGGTTGCATTTTCAGCAACCTCAGATTCATGAGGGCTGACGATGTTTTGTCCGAGATTATGGGAGCTGACGAAGTGTTGACCTATCGCGGCAGCCTTCTCTTCAGGAGTTATCAGATGAACCACTGGGTCGCCGCGACGATCCAGTGGGGTCAGTGGTGGAATGAGCCTAGGCTTGTTTTTAAGAATTTTTGTAAGTTTCCAGAAGGGCTTAGCACAATCTGGGAGAGAGCGGATCTTACTAGCAAAATCGTTATTTCTGAGATCCACCATCCTGGCCTGAATGATCTTTGTTAATCGATTACAATTGGTCTTCAAGTTAGGCAGGCCAGTACGCTGGTACTGCCTACGAATGGTGTTACGGAGTCTAATGAGATCTTTGGTAGGGCTGTCAAGGTGTTACTCACCTGTCTGGATACTGGCACGTGTTGTTCCCTGGCCTGGGAAATCGCCTCCTCGATGGTTTGTAGACACCGGTCAACATCTCCGAACGTCCCCGGTTGGACATCGTAGTCGATGGTTGTGTCGACGCAGTGTTTATATTGCGCCCAGTTGAGTTGGTGGTAGTTGCGCCGGGAAGCTACGAATCGGTTTACCGAGTATCCAACTTCGACCCCCACCGGGTAGTGGTCCGAGCTCAACTCCTGGAATGCCACAGGTTGCGAGATGTTGTGTCCCATGTTGCTTACGAAGATGTCGGTGGTCGCATGGACCCCAGATCGACTCAACCGGGTGGGAGAGTCCGGGGCCAAGATGGTATAGTGGCCCTCTTGCAGGTCTTCGTTCAGGATGGTGCCGTTTCGATTGCTCAGACCGTTGCCCCAAGCTTGGTGTTTTGCGTTCAGATCGGCAGCGATTATAAAGTTCCCGCTCCTCCGGGTGAGTTTGATGATGTCTTTCCGGAGGGCCACTGACGACCGGTCCCTGATGTTGGTTTGCTAGTAGCCGATTTGCTGCGTCATTCGAAGCAGCGCTGGGATCCGTTTGGGCCTTCTGGATAGGGTCCTCCGATGCAGAGCAGTAGTACGCTTGCGTACCATGCTTTGTTTATTGGCAAGAGCAATTAGACTTGCCAATGCGCCTGTCGATGACGGCACTCCCACGATGCGAACGTAGCAATAAAACGAACTAGAAAAAACTCGACAGCGAAGCGAACTGAAAATACTGCCAAATACCTTTCAATATTTATATTTTCGGAATCAAGGTGACGTCTAGAGACCGTAAATCGATGTCCGACGCCATCTTGAAATCCAAGATGATGGTTTTCAGTTCCAGAAAAAGAGAGAAATACTGTCAAATATCCTTCATTACGCGTATTTTTGGGACGTCTAGAGACCGAATATCGAAATCGGACTGACGTGAACTCCAAGATGGCAGCTACAGGATACAGGGAAAGTTGGGAATACTGTCAAATACTCGTCAATGTGTGGATTTTTGGATTGGCGGTGATAGCTACGGACTAGCAATTACTGTCCGATGCCAAATTGATTTCCAAGATGGCAGCTTCTGGTTACAGATAAACTGGATAGTACTGTTAAATACCCCCACAATATGGGTATTTCCGGAATGGGGACGATATGTAGTGGCTCAAAATCGATGTCCGACGCAATTTTGTAATCTAAGATGGCAGTCCTCTGTTTTATAAATCTGTCAAATACCCTACAATAGACG